AACGCACGCGTGTGCTTGTACTGACGCAAGTGTTGGTGCAAGGGCTGCTTGTTCAAATGCAATGCTCGCCTTGCACTGTCGCAGTCTGCAACGCATGTGTCTGTGAGAGGGTTGACTTGCGTTTTTCCTCATTTTAATACACCCTTGTGCATGCGTTAGTGCATGTCCACCCGTGTAGAACTGAAACCGGTAAAATTGTCGTATATTTGTCGCTTTTTAAACGACTATTTTACTGCAAGTTTAGGAATATAGTTGTCGTAAATTTGCACACCTTTACGCACATGACGTCAAATCTGCGACAACTACATTTGTCCTAAATTTGCAGTAAAGTAGTCGTTTAAAAAACGACAAATATACAACAATTTTATCGGTTTCAGTTCTACACGGGCAGATGCAATTGTTGGCTGGGTGCTCCCTGACCTCAATGCACGCGAGCGCAAGCAGTAATGCATAGCGCTTAGCAGGTATCAGCAAAATGTGTTTCCTGAATGCAATGCAGGTTAAAAAAGACCCTCATAGAAATATGATTTTTTCCTAGAAATTTAATCAAATACATTTATTAAAAGCTGTGTCACGGTTGAGACAGCTTTTGATGAGCTTGGCAGAGCACAGATGTGCTCTGCCAAAAACCGCCACGCCCCAGTCACATATAGTGGAAACTTAAGATCAAATAGAAATATGAGGCTCATGCAGCAGCATATTGCCTCTGTGAGGGAGAATTCTCCCTGGACACCGGAGAACTTCTCGCCGTCCACAATTATTGTGTATGTACTAAGATTGGCGTCCAGCCACTGGGCGCTATCGGAATCCACTCGGATGATTGCACCCACTTCTTTAGGTTCCTGCCAGAAATTAAAGAAAGTATGATTTAGATTAAGATGAAAAAAATGTGTCACTAACTTTAACATATGCACAAGTCATTTACCTTCCCAACTATTATCCACTTGTTAACGTGCTCCTTGCTGGTCAGAGCCGGCAGGGCCGCCAGAACATAGTCTCTTTTAACTGCAAACAAGTAGAATAGTATTAGCTTGAAAATGGGGTATTTTAAAGTAACACAAATGCAAGTCCAAAATTATGAGCCAACCATCCAGCTCGTCACAGTTTGGCATATTTACGTATGCCTCGGTAATGTGTCTTGCACGAGAACATCCCATCAGTGATCGGATTGGTCGATCACATCTCTCAGCATTAAAATAATCCTTCACCGTCTCTACCACGTTCTTGTTGAAGAACCTTTCCATATCATTGAAAATCTGCACAAAAAGTAGAAAGTATTTTAATTAAGTAATTAATTACATGAGAAGGAGTTTTAGTAATTTTACTACTTACATGAAAAGGATCTTTCAACGGAGGGTGTGTTTCTATTGCAGCTTTCACTTCACCCGTTTTGCATATCGACCGCCTGTGGGCTGCCGTTAAGTTAAGCCTCAAAATTATGAGGTTCATATTTGGCGTCGCCTTTTCCCACTCTTTGGTCAGGAGTCCAATTATCTCCTCATTGGTTCCGTCATCTGGAACTATCCCTTCTTAAATAGGAATTTCCAGACAATTAGGCTACATTTAGAAATGAATAATAATTCCATTAAAATAACATCGTAGATTACACATTTAGTTAGAAATTTAAGAAAAATTCTTACAACAATTTGAATGTTTTTAGTGCCCCTCCATTTATCATTGAAACTAGGTTCCAGATGACATTTTTACTGAGACAGAAATTAAATGCAACCCTATAACTAGTGCCATATGCCTCCAGCTTCTTTGATTAATTATCA